CATTTCAGTTGGTATTTGGAAAACATTTAACTCTGCAGCTTTGTAGAAATGATATTTCCACTTGAACATAGAGGAAGTTGTACTCATTGAGAGTTTAACTTAACAGTGCACAACCAAAGTTTATTAGTGCCCATTTCATGTTCTGCAAAGATAAAATATCAACGTCCTATAGAGATGTCTTATTTGTATATACAGTATTTCGTAAATCAATGGGATACTCAAAAGATTAAACAGGAACATCCTTTACTTATGGAACATAGGATAACATAAATCTAAAATTAATTGTCATACATTGTTTTTAATGAGAACGAAATGACCTATCCTACCAGCTCTAACTGCGAATACAGGTTTTTCAAGAGTGTACCTTCTTCCTCGTTTATTTCTAATTGCCAGGTATTGCCAAACAAAAGTTAATTCTGGAAATTCTGTTAAATGGAGAGGGATTTTTGACCAGAGAAGGTGCTGTCTGAAACAGCCAGAAGATCAAGCTTGCAATAAGTACCAACAAGCCACTGTTTCTTAATATTAAGCTAAAAATTCCCTGGTCCACTGATGCAAGACTTATTTTACACAAATTGTGAACAAAAAGACAAGTGGTAAATCAGGGGGAAAAAAGTGAAGAAACTTTTATTAAATACCATGCAACCATCTGGCACCACTCCGCAAAGTTGATTATTGACTAACTTTAATAGCAGACATTTTTTGTTTATTCCTTTAAACTTTTTTGTGGAGGAAATGTCCTCTGTATTGGGGAGGTGGGGGGACAGTTGGAAGGGGAGGCAGATAGTAGAGGGTGGAGGGTAAGTTGCAGGGTAGAAGGAGGAAATTAAAAGATGCATTGATAAAGAAGGAGTAGGGGACAGGAGTTATGCAAGGAATAGTTTATGTAAAGCCACAGAGAGAGTGGCTTATGCCAGAAACAGCAGGTCCTTCCAAATTTCTCAAGCTTTGTCCTTGCTAACAGTAAGCAAGCCTAGGAGAGGATGCTTGAAGAACCTGGTAAGCAACTGCCTGGCTCTCCCAATAGCATGTCCATGGATTTCTCAGTTAAGGTGACTTAAAACTTGCAAACGCTATTCACTTGCTGAAGATTGCCAAAAATCACTGAATTTTATAATGTTAAGATAGAATCTTACAGATCAAGAAGTCCCAAGCCTGTGTTTTTCCAGATATAATCATTTAAACAATCCTACCCTTTGTGAGGAAAGTATAGGAGGCCAGGCAAGGTAGACAGGGCTTGAGGCCTTGGCAGTTGCTCCCTGTTGATCTCTAGGGGAAAGGAGTGGGGGTTAATATGTATTCATTAATATCAACATTGTATTGAAACATTTGCAATTAATCAATGGTAATAGGTTCTTCTGAATACATGACAAATATTCTTAAGTTTAATTTCAAAAAGACATGGAGTTTCTTTCTATTTTTTTTAAGATGGGCCTTGCTCTGTGCCCTCAAACTCTATAATCTCAAACTCCTGGGCTCAAGAAATCCTCTTTTAGTAGCTAGGACTACAGGCGTCTGTCACTACACCTGGCTAGGTTTTTTACTTTTTGTAGAGACTTGGTCTCACTATGTCTGCCTCCTCAGCCACCCAGAGAGCTGGGATTACAGGTATAAGCCACTGTGCCAGGCCTAGCCCTGGAGTTTCTAATACATTGGTATACAATTCTGAGATTTCTCTTAAGCATGGATTTGTAAATGAAGAGCTGGACCTTAATTTTTCTAATTCACACAACACTGTTTTAACATTGTCTTATTCAGTGGTTCTCAGCCTGGGAAAGAAGGGGAAAAGTGATTTTGCTCCCCAGGGGACATTTGGCAACATTTGGAAATACTTTGGCTGTCATGACTGGGAGTGTTATTGGTATCTAGTGGGTAGATGCCAGGGATGCTGCTAAACATCCTACAATGCACTGAACAGCCTCTCACAAGGAAAAATGATCTGGCCCAAAATGCCAATAGGGTTGAGATTGAGAAACCCTGGTCTAATCTGAATGCTTTAAATATTATTAAAACATATAGTGAGATCAAGAATTTATTACTGCATTTTCATTAATACCAATTTTCTCAAAGGCAGTTTGAAAAACAGACCCTGACTAAAATTGTATGTGAGTTATACAGGGAAAAAAATATGACACATCTGTGATTTGGAAAAAAAAAAAAAGCTGAATGGAAAAAAATAGATATTTTTATTCATAAGAGCATTGCCATGCAATTTTCAATGCTCCAGAAAAATAACCTTCTTCCATTGACACTGTGCTGCAAGAAGTGAGGAACAAAATGGTTATAAACTATCCTTCTCACAAATTCTAATCTATTATCAGACTGTTATTTCTAAAATATATTAATACACCATCTAAAGAACAGCCCTCTTATCAGAAGCTAAGATACATAATAAGTCAGAAGATAAATGCACCAGTATGAACTTATTATACTTTTTTAAATTTCTCTGGATTACAGGGCAATTAAACTCTGTAGGAAGTGCTTACTGGAGAGTAATTCTGTGGTCCAGAAGACACTAGAATGTGCTCAGCCATTTAGCACCCATCCACCTCCTTTCTTTTCCCTTTCCTGGTAAATTTTCCTATATGTTCATAAGGACAGATGCCATTGCTATGGGAATCACTCTGGTTTAAGCCCCATGAAAAAAAACCGTAGCTAACTATATTAGTTAGTCTGTTCTCACACTGCTATAAAGAAATACCTGAGACTAGGTAATTTATAAAGAAAGGAGGTTTAGTTGGCTCACAGTTCCACTGACTGTACAACATTATGATGGCATCTGCTCAGCTTCTGGGGAGGCCTCAGGAAACTTACATTCATGGCTGAAGGGAAACAGGGAGTAGCACTTCACATGATCACAGAAGGAGCCAAAGAAAGGTGAGGGGAAGGAGCCACACATTTTTGAAGGACAAGATCTAATGAGAACTCACTCACTATACAGTACCAACTGCGGGGTCGAGGGCGGGGGTGGCAGTGGGGGTGGTTGCTAAACCATTCCTAAGAACTCTGCCCCCAAGATCCAATCTCCAATCACCTCCCACCAAGCCCCACCTCCAACACTGGGGATTACAGTTCCACATGAGATTCGGCAGGGACACAAATCCAAACCATATAACTAACCTTATCTAAACACTAAACAATAGGATAAGCAAAATCATTTTTGTAGCTTCTTTCAAAAAAATCTTATGTATTAAAATGCTGAAATGGATAAGAATTTCATCAAAATAAGAACCTCACCAGATCTGACCCATGGGAGAGGAGATTGTTCAATAAAAAATTGCAAATGGATGAATAAATGAATCCTCTCCTTTCAAGTTCTATGCTGCATACAACAAATCCAGATGAGTTTCATTTAGATGGGTTTTAGGGAAACCTTTTTAAAATACCTATCATTTTACGAAAGAAGCTATCGTCTAAATAGTCCTCTTGGCCACTTCCTGAAAACAAGTCAATTATTTGTGATAACTCTCAAATGTCCTAATAATCCCATGGGAAATGTAAATATAATGAGGACAAAGAATTATAAGAAGTGCTAATGTCAGATTTTTACCCACTACATAAGTCCACTCTTGTTCTATGGGAGTGACTTTCTTCTTTGAGTGAGACCTTGAAATCTGGGATTATAATTTTAGGGAAAATAAATGTTTATAAAATGGTATTCAGATGTAAATTATCTCTTTTTTTTTCTGTTCCTCACAATTGATATTATGGATTCCCGTAAGGATTCATGTCTTCTATTCACTTTAATGAACAGTTGTTGGGCAACAATTCTAGAAGAGTTCCAATTCTCATCAGGAGAATGGACAAGGTGGAAAAGCACAGAAAATGCAATGAGTAGAATGTCTAAGTCATCACTTTGGAATTGATTGAACACAAATAAAAGTGGGAAAGCTATGTAAAACAGAAGGGAATGGGTAAGTAGGGTGATGTCTGGGACAGAAGTGGTTCCATAGCCATTCCGTAGGGTTACAACACTGCCATTCATATACTGAGGTAGCAGCAGGGAAACTTTTTATTTGTTAGAAATACTGAATTTTGCCTCCCACCCCAAAACATTTTTCTCATTCAGTTCCTGTTCTTTTTTATTTCTGTAATTTTTTCTGTTTCAAAAATGATCTTTTTTCTTTTGGAAGAAGTAATTCTTCAAATCCAGTTCACCTAAAGGCATTTGATATGTTCAACAAGCTACAAATACACTGTATCCAGCAATACCTACCACATGCCTACTTTGAGCTCTGAGCAACCTGCACCTCAAGCCTAGTTCTCATTGTTTTGCTTTTGGCAAATTTTTACTAAGTGCCCTTCCTCCCCAAACACACATATATGTCTGCCAGACCCTAAAGCCCTTTAAGAACATGCAAACTCCTCCCTTCTGAAAACCTTTGCGTGAGTAGTCAGCAGGCTAGTTTATCCATTGCAATGTGGCTTTGTGCTAGGGTTCTGTTTCGGTGCTGCCTACAAGATAATCACAGATGTGACTGCATCTTAGAGGTTCCTGAATCTTTCAAGAGAGTCTGGTTCAAAGGAAAATTAAAAGGTGGAGGCCGGGCGCGGTGACTCAGGCCTGCAATCCCAGCACTTTGGGAGGCCAAGGAGGGCCGATCACCTGAGGTCAGGAGTTCGAGACCAGCCTGACCAATATGGAGAAATCCCGTCTCTACTAAAAATACAAAATTAGCCGGGCCTGGTAATCCCAGCTGCCTGTAATCCCAGCTACTTGGGAGGCTGAAGCAGGAGAATCGCTTGAACCCGGGAGGCGGAAGTTGCGATGAGCCGAGATCGCGCCATTGCACTCCAGCCTGGGCAACAAGAGCGAAACTCCGCCACACACACACACACACACACACACACACACGGTGTAGTTTAGGAAGTAAAAAAAACTAGAGCTCCCCTCACCCTTCAGGGCTGAAGGCACAAACTCTAGGGCCAGGGCGCTCGCCTACCCAACTTCACATGCACTTACAGGTCACCTAGCACTCAGGTACTTTGTGGCTCCTTACCTCTCAGTACAGCAGCAACAACGTTGATCGGAAGTTTATCACTGTGTGTTACGGGCCATGGGCCATGTGTGTTAGAATTTTACGTGAAATTAACATTTAATTCTCACGGACACCTCTGAAGCAGGTGCCACAGCTCCCATTTTGCAAAGGAGGCAGCTGAGGTTCCCAGGGGCTCAGTACCAGCACCGTGGGCCGAAGCACGCAGGGCAAACACAGCCGGAGGTGAGCACAGACCTGCTTCTGCACCCCGCGCTCCTAACCACAAGGCTCCCTCCCTCCAGGAAGGCCTTTGTCATCCCTGGGACGACCTGCCAGCTCTGAGGCATGACAGTACGGGCGCCTAGCAGGGTGACCAGGAGGCCCTCCTCGTCCCAGCTGCTGGCGTCGCCGCCCACGGCAGGGCCGGGGCTGTGACTCGTGGGGACGGTTCCCAGCGCCCCGGCCGGGGAGGCGGGAGGGGAGGGGCGGCGGGGCGCCGGGGCGGGGCTCGGGACGGCTGGGCTGGGGGCTGGAGCCCGCAGCTGGAAGCGGCCGCTGCCCGGAAAGCGCTGGGAGAGGCGAGGTGGGGCGGGGCCGGGCGCTACGGGAACTGGAGGCCGCGCGGACCCGGAGCCGCACCGCGCCAGCCGGGCTGCAGCGGCTGCGCACCAAGGCCGCGATGGGACTGGAGACGGAGAAGGCGGACGTGCAGCTCTTCATGGACGACGACTCCTACAGCCACCACAGCGGCCTCGAGTACGCCGACCCCGAGAAGTTCGCGGACTCGGGCCAGGACCGGGATCCCCACCGGCTCAACTCGCATCTCAAGGTGAAGCCCGGGGCGGGCGGGCCCAGGTCCCCGCTGAGGCCGGGAGGTGCGGGCGCCCCTCAGCCCCGCCCCACCCCGTCCCACCCTCGCCACCGGGTCGGCCCTGCAGGGTCTGAGACCCGCACCCTCCCCCGGTCCCACCCGCCACCGGTCCCACCCGCCACCGGGCCGCCGGCGTAGCCAGGAATTCTTAGCCAGGTTCCTGTGCGCCCACCGTGACCCTAAGAGAAGAGGGGGATGCCCTGGCACGTCCTTCCCTCCTGCTTCCCCCGCCCAGAGCGCTCCCGATTCCCAGGGCTGCAGGTCCGCTGACGGTTCCGGGTCCCTGCGTCCTGTCTCCGCAGCTGGGCTTCGAGGATGTGATCGCAGAGCCGGTGACTACGCACTCCTTTGACAAAGTGTGGATCTGCAGCCATGCCCTCTTTGAAATCAGCAAATACGTAATGTACAAGTTCCTGACGGTGTTCCTGGCCATTCCCCTGGCCTTCATTGCGGGAATTCTCTTTGCCGCCCTCAGCTGTCTGCACATCTGGTGAGACGGGGCACACAGGGTGGACCAGCTTTCTGAAACATGGGCATATTCTGCGCCACCTGCCCCCTGCTCTCCCCTTATCCCAGGCCGGCGGCCGGCGGCAGGAGGAGGAACGCGCATCAGCTCCCAAGCAGTAGGAAGAACTGGAAGGCCTTGAAAGGCCATGCGCTTCCTTTAGAATAACAGTTTGGGCTTGAAGTTTCAACAGGAGAAAGAATGTCGGCCTTTCCTGGGGTGTGATTTTCCTTGCATACATAAGTCTGGGCTGAGTGTGGAGGCGGGTACCTGGAAGCCATATTTCTTGCCACAGGCTGCTTTCAGGGCCCTGTTGTGACTCGTGCCTGCAGTTCTAGGCAGGGCTCTTATTTTTTTCATTACCTTTTATTCAGTCACTTCCTGTGCCTGGGGTAAAACAAAAGTAATCTCTGAGCAGAATGCCGCTGACAGTAGAATTGGACGAGGATATCAGACCTGGTTCAGCAGTGGAGCGGAGGGGCTGCTTCAACTTTGCCCCTGGCAGATGGCAAGGATGGGACCCAGAGGAAAGGGAGGTGTGTGCAGTTAAGGCGAGGGTCCCCCAGTACAAACGAATGAAAACTCCAGCTGCGGGATAATGAATGAGGCCTCCAAATTACTTTTTCACTGATGAAACACAAATGGAAGTGGCATCTAGTTAAAGGGGAAAGAAATATGGAAGCCCCCTGGATATTGATAGGATGTTTTGAGTAACTCTATTCATACTCAAAATGTGTCCTAAACTGTAGAGAACATTCTTAAGCCTCTTTTAAGTTTTTTAAGGAAAATGTCATATTTTCCCAATAAATATTGTTGTATTAGAAAATATCCACTTTAATCTGAGAGGAAGAGTATTCAGATCATCCCCAGTATCACGACAGTTGTCACGCTAGTGCTTCAGGTTAGTCCTCATGAAAAGTATAACCTGAGGTACTTCTGTGTCTTTCTTACACTTTATACGATATTCCATACCTGATCTATGCTCAGTGTTCATTTTTAGAAGTTACCAAATTATTCTTTATTCCTCTATACCACCTGAATCTTAATTTCTTTAGTAGTTAGCTAGCTAGTTAGTTCAACAAACTAAATTGATTGAGTGCTTAGTTTGTGCTGGACACTGGGCCAAGGTGAATGAGAGATAGGGTCTGTCTTCAGCTTACTCATGGCCTATCAGGGCAGCTGGCTAGGTACAGAAAGCATGCTGAGAAAACACTTTGTCAACTGACAAAGAGGGAAGAACAGACAAGGCTTTGAAGAGGGAAGGGAGTCAAAAAAGACTTTTAAAGGATAAACGAAAATTCACCAAATAAGTAAAGGATAGACAAAGAACGCCAATTTAATTTTATCACTGAAGGTTGTAAACAATTAAACTATGTCGAAGGTGCCAAGATTGCCAGAGAATTGAAAATGTTTGCCTTTGTACATGATCAGCTTTGTGGAGGTCAAATGGATAGTTACATTCTGACATTGGCACATGAATTTTTTTTAAGATGCCTAAGTTGGCGCATAAGATTTGGGATTCCCAATTAACTAAAACTAATCATCTAACCTCTATGTCAGTTTTCTCACTTTCAAAACTGTGAAAAACTAGTGACCGCATAGCATATTGTGAAATGCTGGCTACGAAGCTATTTGGAAATGTATAGTACCATATTTATAGTCAACAAAGCTAGACTTCCCAAAGCTTTTGTGAAAGAATTTGAGAAAAAAAAAAAAAAAAAAAAATTTTTCATTAACTAATTGTGGAAAAAATTTAAAAAAAAAAAAAAAAAAAAAAAGTTTCTCATTTACTAAATGGTGGAAAAATATAAGTAAAACTACAATTAACCAAGCAATGCCTCCTTCCAGCTGGCTCTTCTGAGAATGGGAGGTGTTTTTGTATAGTATTTCAATTGGTGAATCATCAATGCACCATTTCTTAGCCACATAAAAGGTATTTAACTTCAGCTTTTTAAATTATATCTATGTGGGACATTAATATTTAACTGTCAGATGTTTGTCACCAGGCAGCTGTGATTGCAAGTAGAGGAGTAATTTCAAACAAGAATGCTTAAAAGTTAGCTTATGCCTTGATAAAATAGGTTTATCATTAATAGATTGCATTTCCATGACGTGATAAGACCAGATCAAGGACAGACCTTACAGAATTGCAAACCCATTTGGGCAAACTTTTTTTGGTTTTCTTTTTATCTATTTTTTTAAAGCAGGGGCTTGTGTATTGTTTTTACCAAAAAGTTAGTGGTGATCAAAGGTATGAAAATATGCAGTAATGGAACTTTGAACCATATCACAACATTAAAACAGGTCGGATTTTACATCCTTTAAATGAACAAACAGCAACAATAAAACACAGAAGTCTGGTGGTGTTGGATCCTAGACCGGAAGTACAGGTCGTTAGGAATCAGTGAATTAGCTGGATTCCATAATACAGTCAGACAGAGATAGCTGCTGTTTGTTAAACACAGGTTATTGGTCATAAGTGAATCATGACCAAACAAATGTGGCTGGAGCACCCATATCCCTTATTTTTGCTGGGATGCAAAGCAAACAAATGTCCAACTGATGCAAATGCAATAGTAGCAATCTCACTTCTAGAAGACAGTTTTCGTACAGTAAATTGCTATAATTGAAATCTGCATGACACTATAATTACTACAACACTAAATAAAAGTTTCTATCCTATGGTTTTATTATCCAAGGGAGGAATATATAACCTTATAGATTATAACATTTACTTAAGAAGTGTTTGGTCACATTGAGCCTCAACCAAATTTGGGGTCAATCAGAACTGCCTGGAGTTTCAGAAGCTAAACTATTTGTGATGTTGAGAACACAACTTAAGTTTGATATCAGAGGATCATTAGATTCTCTGCTCCAAAATTAGGGAACACAAGTAAACAAAAATAAAATTGAAATGAGTTAACAACGCCCTATAAACTGAACTCCTCGAATGTGGGTAACTGCTTTGCTGAAACAAGAAGATTCACTTTTGACATGTGCTAAATTCCCTTTTAGGACACAAAGATCTAAGGAGTCATGGAGATAGAAAATTTATTAGCCTAAGGAAGAATAGAAAGTACATTGTATTCTGGCCAGGAGTAGTGACTCTTGCCTGTAATCCCAGCTCTTTGGGAGGCCAAGCTGGGCAGATCACTTGAGGTCAGGAGTTCAAGACCAGCCTGGCCAACATGGTGAAATTCTGTCTGTACTAAAAATACAAAAAGTAGGCAAGCATAGTAGCAAGTGCCCATGATCCCAGCTACTCAGGGAGGCTGAGGCAGGAGAATCACTTGAACACGGGAGGCAGAGGTTGCGGTGAGCCGAGATCACATCACTGCACTCCAGCCTGGGCGACAGAGTGAGAGAAAGAAAGAGAGAAAGAGAGAAAGAGAGAAAGGGAGAGAGAGAGGAAGGAAGGAAGGAAGGAAGGAAGGAAGGAAGGAAGGAAGGAAGGAAGGAAGGAAGGAAGGAGAGGGAGGGAGTAAGGGAGTAAGGGAGGAGGGAAGGAAGGAAGGAAGGGGAAAGAAAGAAAGAAAAGAGGGAAAGGAAGAAAGAAAGAAAGAGAAAGAAAGAAAAAAAGAAAAAAGAAAGAAAGAAAGAAAGAAGAGAAAGAAAAGGAAGGAAGGAAGGAGGGAAGGAAGGAAGGAAGAAAGGAAGGAAGGGAAGAGAAGGAGGGAGGAAGGGAGGAGGGAAGGAAGGAAGGAAGGAAAAAAAGAAAGAAAAAAAGAAAGAGAAAGAAAAAGAAAGAAAGAGAGGAAAAAGGCCACTTTGAGGTTATTTTGTTATAGTT